TGTCCCCGTCGGTAAGCGAACTGTGACGGTGTCACTCATTTGCGCTTCCAGCGCCTCAGCATACAGCTGACTTTCTTCGATCGTGAGCGTCAAGCAAAATTGACCGACACCCCGGAATCGATCAGAATCTTCCATGGCTTCTCGAAGCCCTACCCAGTCGCTTTTACGACCAGCAAGCACGGCTTGCACACACGTTCCGTGTTCAAGAGTATGCAGCTCTTCGTGGCTAAACCCTGCTGCCCTCTACCTCTTCGACGCTCAATTGAACTCAATTCTCCCTCAGTAGGGCGCCTTGTGCCTTCTGGGTGTTGTCGTTTCCCCGCGACGAACAAAAACACTGGGAAGAAGCGGGACGTCGGCTCGACGAACCTTTACGCGGCTAGAGACTCCCCGTCCAAAGGTGACGCGTGTCTTTACAAACAAAACAACTGTTTACACGCTGCTCAGCAGCTCGAAGCTCCCCTTCCTCCTTCTCAGTATAGCTGAGATCCTTTGGACCAGATGAGCTCTGAGGGTGTGCATTCCAACTAAGTCGTTCCGACTTGAAGTAGATCTGGCATTCAATGCCACATTCACCGCTTCTTCAAAAGCAAACGGATTCACACGGAAGACTTCCATTCTGGTCACTCCAGTGCAGTAGTACTCATAAAGACGGTCACTGCGAACGCCTCGGGGAGAGGATCGGCTGCCATCCCGGCAAAGAGAGTTCTCAACTTTTGGACAAAGTCCACCAAATCCTTCTTACCCTGTCGGGCAGCAAGGAAACGCGATCTTACGCGAGATGCCTGGTTTGGCGGCAAGAACACTCGCAAAAGCCGACGCTGTAGCTTTTTCCAGGAGAAAAACGCAGCTTCAACCAAAACACTGCACGTTTGTGCCGATTCTTGCGCTCGGCCCTCGAACTTGGAGATAGCTAGCGACATGCGCTGTTGCTCGTTTTGGAGCATGGCGGGTGCCATAGCAATCTCGGCCTCTCTCACCCAGAGCAGGAATTTCTCTCCATCGTTTCCCTCGAAGGTCTATGCGCTCATCATGAGCGGCCTGGGTCAGATCATTCTTCGTCGACGGTGAAGTTTTGGACGCACTCGACGTTGACAGTTTCTGCTTTAAGTGATCTAGCAGAGCAATTTAATGACTCGAAAAAGCTTCTTGGTGCGCGTTTATTGCTTCGGGCCCTTGCGCATCGAGGTGCCCGACGCCCTCAGGGCCCAGCAGGGACATCAGCTTATTAAGCCCGTTCGGCATGCCCTGGACAAATAGGAGTATTCCTCCATCATCACAGCGGATCAGTCGTAACGACACACGTTAAGATTGACTTATAGCGCTGCCAAGTGCAGCGGGGCTGCCGTAGCTTTTTGCTTAGAAATAGCTAAGCTAAGGTCACCAACCTTACGTTCTTTACAAGAGCCAGTACGAGTGCAGCGGATCGCAATCCGTTGCCTCCAAGAGTACTTGAGACCTCAGCCTAAGTAATTGAACTATTCCGCTAAAAATTGATGCTGTATTTAATTGTTTTAGTTGCGACAAAGTCACATATATTTAAAACCTCAGGTTTTCCTGATAAATAAAGTTATACGTAATTAATATGGTGAATCCTATTCATTATATAGTAAAACTTAATTAATACGCACTCCTACTGGCAGTCCTGCCACATAGTCGCTTCTTGTTACGGTGTATTCACACCACTCTGCGATTACACCAACTTGTGATATCCAAACCTGTGTTCGGTCATACCATCCTGTGCGACCCGCCCTTTCATACAAGGGTAGGTGTATCCCCGTTACATCTACCTAAGACAACGTCACTGAGTTTTTGACTTTCGTTGCGACTCTTACGCTTACTGAGACAGGTCAAGCTCTTTTTTAAAAAGCTGGACGTCGTCGCGGGTTTCACGGCGGGGTGTCGTAACTGCAGGGAATGGATACGTAAATTGCAAATCATGTAGAGACAAGGAAGAGCGTAAAAATCGCTCAGTTTCGAAGAGATCCCCACTCTAATAGTGGCCAGCCGTATGTCTCTAATTGGGAGCAAAGGTGCCAGGTCTGTATCAAAAGTGTAACTGGAATCTTCCAAGTCAGATAACGCCTCTGCTGCCGTGAAGCCCGCGTCATTCCCTCTTGTTGGTATAAATATGTAAGCGTAAGGTAGAAAGCCTCGATACGAATTATAATCGAAAGGAAAGGCTCACTCCATTCAATACACTTCCAATGCATTGACCGAAGATAACATCTGGTACACTAGAAGCTCGTAGAGCGCTTAGTATTGCGCAATGACTTGGCGGACTGCAACGGGGTAATTACTGGTTCTGACTAGGATTAGAGAAACATGATACTGTGAAGATTCAAATGATGGTAAGCTGAGCGTAATGGTAGTCTAAGAGATATCACCATAGCTGCTAGCAATTCCTTATGCAGTACAAAACTTTTATGATTGTGGAGAGAAAGCAAATATATTTTATATTTACTTATCTAGCTTACTTCTTTATAATATATCGCTATTTAAAAAATGAGCAATATAAGTACATATTCCATGCAAGGCTCTCCGTTCGGCCCCTGCGTGCATGGCAGCCTTTCCTCTGTATCTTGGGCAACGCTGGTTTGGCGACGTGCACGGCACGGCATACCTGTTGTAATGCGTGTAAGTCTCTCTGACTTAGACTTCTGTTTAGAGAGACACCGGTAGTTTTTAGTTGTCTTAAAATGAGGAGCCGATTGCATCTCGTAAATCAGGTTTTACACCTGAACTGGAATCAATGATACGGCACAACAAATTTATGATCTATAATGAGTGTCTGATAGCAGCGCGAATTACCGTCGAAGCATCCAAATCAGAGGCGACATAGCTTCTGGCACTTGCGGTGAAGAGGACACGCGCGGATTATATAGACTAATAAGTGGACAAAGTCAATTTACCAAATCCGCTTTTGCTTTTACACCATTTACTACATGTGCAATATTCACAAACTGTAGTTTTTTATGACCCCAACGACGAGATTTCCTATTCCAGTTTTACAGGCTTTGCAGCAGTCATCAATCGTAGATATTTGAACGACTTTTTTGGCGAAGAAAATGTCAGCGAGCTGTAATAGTTAAGACAAATTCTTACGATCTTATCATCATTTTCTAAGAGAAATGTGGTGAAGGTGTCGTTGAGCGTAATGGTGCATGCAGAGAGACTTGTGATATGCAAGCTCCCCAAGTTTGACCTATAGACTCGGAACATTAGAGGCCTAGTACGAAGAAAGGTACATGACTTAGTCAGGCAATTCTCAGTCTGCTTTAAGTGGCAGATTCTGGACCGACATTAAATTGAGCAGACCAGTGATATTGTTGTCGCCACGCTGGGTCGTGGTGGCTCATAACCCGACTTCAGAAATAAAGCACAGCAAACGTTTTGAAAAATTACTCTTGACGTGGCTCACAGCCAATGGAGAACCTTACAATATCAATTGATATTTATGCACAGCAGTATATGTCCTCAAATTTCAGTTGAACTAAGGTAAATTTCTACTTAGACGTTACAAAGCAAAAAATCATACAGACCTTTGCCCGATAACGTAGCGGCAGATAAAATTGCAGCTCCAAAACGATTCTCAGGCCAAAACTTTAGAAAAACGATATTAAATGTATTGCAAACACATTCATTTGAGATGATTAAATCGAGCCTCAAATTGATAACAATAAATTAGCCACTTGTCCTTTACCGTCTTAATGAGAAAGTCAGCGCTGATTGGGAAAAAATAACTTTTTTTCTCGCTAGACCCACTTCATTTATTTACGGAAGAAAGCGTCTATGTCGTCGAACTGTTTCATTTTTATAGACCTTACGCAAAATTTGGCTGCAGGGACCGGATCAATCGTATTTCATTTTCTGTTTTAAATGAAACACCAGTAAAAATACCGTGATCACCACACCCTTATACTTATTTATAAAAAAATAGAAGCGAAAGAAGAGGAGACGGCTCAGACAATCCTTGATTATAGCCGTTTCACTCCTCACGATGCAACGGAAATTGCCCGTCCGTGCACACACACTTACTGAAGACGGTTGGGACTAACTGACACGCCTCACCGCGGGCTACTCGCTTCCAGCGGGCTGTTCACTTACGTAAAGAGGAGGGAAGGTAAGAGGGCATTATTATTGTGACCACTAGGCTTTTAAACTCTCTAACCTGTTAAGTGCCTCCAGTTTTTTATACAACAGAACTGAAAAGAGAGACATGGTGGTTCAACCCTGGAGCTCGACGAGCTTTTTAGTCGAAAGGGTGCTCGATTGATTACTCCAATCGCATATCGTCGCGCCATCAGACGGATCACACGTGCTGAAAGAGAACGACGAAGCATCATGTATGAACTAAACGTCCAACAAACCAAACTGAATTCCTGCTAGACAATCGGCATTCAATTCTGGGCATGGATCCATGGGACCAAATCTTAGACGTCCACCGTTTGCAAAGCGCAAGCACCACTGTAGACGTTTTACAGGTACGAGATATG